GAAAGAGAAGAGAAGAGAAGAGAAGAGAAGAGAAGAGAAGAGAAGAGAAGAGAAGAGAAGAGAAGAGAAGAGAAGAGAAGAGAAGAGAAGAGAATAGCATTGGAGAAGTTTGCAGGGACTTCGCCAAGGTACTAAGGAGCGTCATTGTCAGTTTGAGGACTAACGAGTGTCTGATCCAAGCCATGGTCTTTTAATTTGCTTCCTGTGCCATAGAAAGCTGGATATTGACTAAGAACAATAGAAGAATTGATACCTTTGAGCTATAGTGTTGGAGAAGAATAGAGACTATCCCATGGTCTGCCAGCTAGGGTGCTCCTTAGAGGGAAGGATGATGAAATTATGTCTCACAAACTTTGGCCATGTAGTTAGAAGAGACCAGTCCTTGGAGAAGGCATCATACTTGGAAAGGTGATGGGTCAGCAAAAGAGAGGAAGACCGTCAGCACGATGGATTGACACAGTGGCTAGAGCAATGGGTTCAAGTACAGCAAGGGATGGTGAAGATACTGCAGGACCAGGCAGTGTTCAGATCTGCTGGTCATAGGGTCGCTAGAAGCTGTGATTAATTCAACAGCACCTAACAACAACAACAATATTCTGAATTTCTGAGAAACAAAATGTGATTAACCTTGTTTGTAACCTTGATTAATCTCTATTCAGGGAGCTCTGATGCATAGTCTGTAGTGAGTTTCATTGCTAACCCAAAGGCCATCTCCAGCAGTGAAAATCCACCAGTGACTACACGGGAGGAAGATGAGAAATCTCTTTCTATTGTAATTTATAGTCTTAGAAATCTGATGGAGGATCACTAGGAGTCAGAACCAACTCTGTGAATTAGACTCATCCTGGTCATATCAGCTGCAGGGGCAGGCTTCACAGGGCAACATGGCATTGTATGGCTCTTCTTAGAGAAGACAAGCTGATTGGTAAATACATTGTAAAGTATCTATGTTACCTCTGTTCATCTTGAAAGTCCTCACTGCAAAAGCATGAAATTAAAGTACTCACGGTAGATTGTCTATCCAGAGTCAAACAGCCAACCAGCACAGATGGCTTGAACAGCAGTGAGCCCAACCTACATGCTTGCCATGAAACATCATGGCTTCCTTGATGTCTGTGTGCCTGTTTTACATAAAACATCATTGCTTCCATTGCTTCTTCTATGTGCATGTTTTGTCTTGTCTTTCTGGCCATATCTAATTCAGCCAACATATAATGCACTTAGGCAAGGCATGGTGACTCATGCTTGTTACATTATCCTCAATCTCCTTTCCTATTAGATTTGCCTAACTTATACAATACCTTGGTCCCTTATAGAGTTTGGCCATCCTGGCCTATAAAATGTGTACAAAGGTATCTGTCTTTCTTCTTATAGTTTCCTTTGAAAGATAGCATATTTGATTTGTGTTTTTACATGCAATCATTTTTTTACCACAAAAAAAGATGTAGTTATGGGTAAACTCCTAGGAGTTTGTAAAATTTAATGCTTCCCAGCTCCTAATAAAAATCAATATTCTTAAATGTTTACAGTTAGTGTTATATTGAATCCTCCTTACTTTGTGAACCTCATTGTTATTTTCCTCTCTTTTCAGGTTCTTGCACGAGTTGGGGCGACATAACTATGTTACTGCTACTTCTTATCTTGAACTTATTGCTTCATTTCAACAACTTTTGACTAAGAAGCGACAGGCTGTCATGAATTCCAAACAACAGTATACCAATGGGTTAGACCAATTAGCATTTGCTGAGTCTCAGGTAAATTGAATTAGCTGCTCAAAATGACAATATGTAATAGGAAATATAAGAAGTCATAATATCAGTTGCTTTTGTTGTTGTTAGGTGCTGCCATGTCATCTACAATGTACAGTAACCCTTTGAACGATAGTTTTGAACCTTGCCCTATCCTGCTCCATCCTCACGATCGCTGATACACTCATTGTTATGCTCACTGTGTCCTACCATCTTGTTGAAGGTCTTCCAATAGATATAATGTATCGAGATTCTGTTGTGTGCCAGGCATTGTGCTATGTACTTGACAGGCATTCTTTCATTTTCGCATCCAGAGAACTCCATGAGACAGACAATTTTATGACTTTTTTTTTAACAGATAAAAAAAAAACAAGTTTGAGACAAGTTAAATGTTACTCAGGTACACAGACTCAGATGCATCCTGTTTTATTTTTAATTAGTATTTTAATGTTTGAGAAAATGTAACAAGTCCAGGTTGACTTTTTATTATGACTATTTGCTGGTTAAATGTGTTTTTGGGTTTTGGTTTTTATTTTTTTAAATTAGTTCAATGTAAGTAACACCTATTAGCATTGTTGTTGTATGCCGTGGAGTCAGAACCAAGCCATTGCTGACCTTCCGGAGGTAATTAATAACATGGGAGGAGAGTGCCCATCCTTTTCCCGTGGAGCAGCTAGTGGATTTGAACCACTTGCCTTCATGATTGCAGCACAGCTTCTTAGCACTGTTGCTGTTGTTAAGTGCCATTGAGTCGCAGGCAACTCATAGCAACCCTATGAAGGAGAGTCCTCAATGCTTTCATCCTCTCTCCAGGTTCATGGGGTTTCCAGAGGCAAGCTATTACGAAAGTCGATGCCACTCCTCCTTCCAATCTTAGCACTAGGCTACCAGAATTCCCAAGCTCAATATAAATAACCACTGCTTGAGCAGTACACCTTTGCATTGTATAGCATACAGAGAATATAATAGGCATACTCTGCACTCTACCTGTTTTTTCCTATTGCAATTAGTCTCCCACTTCCCTATCACATACCCATAGATGATAACTCTTCTATAAAGAAAAGTGGCCATACTCTCATGGTTTTGTTTATCACACAAAGAATTACAAGAGAAAATTAAGATTTTATAGCTCTGATACTTTATTATGCAGTTAAATGTCTTGTTTCCATAGCTATTGTAGTTATGGAAACTTAATGGCAAACTATCTATTTAGGTTGCGGAAATGAAGCTTGAACTTGTTCAATTACAGCCCAAGTTGGAGGAAGCTAAAATTGAGAATGCACATATGATGCAGGTAAAGTATCCTGAATTTTTAAAAATGTATGTCAAAAGACAGCTGAAATACATACACTTAGTCTTGAAAATAGACTTTAGAAGCTTTCCCATTTCTATTGAATGGCTATCTTACAAAGTCTATGTAGATTGCTCTTAGTTTTGAGGGGATCAGGGAAGTCCATTTCCAAATTAAATCACATGTATTTGCACCTCTCAGACTGCCCTGAATGTGTGGGCACTTCTCATACTACCTTTCACGATGAAGTGTGGGCTCCCTAGTTTCCAAGTATTCATCTATGAGATTGAGGAAACATTAGGACGTTTAAGGAATTACCTTCATTTTCTCTTTCTTTTCCTTAGGTTATCGAGATAGAATCTGCAGAAGTGGAAGCAAAAAGAAAGTTTGTGAAATTTGATGAAGAAGTAGCCAGTGGGAAGGCTGAAGAAGCCCAGATTCTGAAAAATGAGTGTGAAAGTGACTTAGCTGAGGCAATTCCAGCATTGGAAGCAGCCCTGTCTGCTCTGGATACGCTAAAGGCACGTGCTTCAATTATCCACCTCCTGTTTTCATAAACAAAGCAAAGCTTGGGGCAGGTGCTTGCTTATTTAAGTATGGTTCTATTTCAGTGGTTTATCTTTTAGCAAAATGCAACTTGTCTTCACATTTCTTCCCTTAAAGATTGTTATTTTTATTCTGTTTTTGCTTTTCACATATTTGTGACTTTTATTCAGGACATTCCAGTGAGAGTGGGGTAAAGGATCAGAGTTTTTCTGTGCACGATCTAGGAGGCATGCCTTCTTCACCTTTCTTGGCACATATGTACAGAAAAATTCTAGTCATCTCCGATACAACTACTGATAGTACCTGCATTATACTGTATTGTATATGACTTTATTTTTAAGTTTCTCCAAGGAAGACTTCCTCATTAGACAGGAAGGAGAGAATGTCTGTTGATTAGTAAATCTCAGTCTATCGTGCTGGTTTAGAACATCGGTATTCTATTCTTTACCTTATTTTTTAATCAGTGTCCTAACTTTTATGTAAAAGACTTGTCAAGCCACTGAATTCAACGTATGGTTAGTTTGGAATCTCTGAAGACTTTCTGGAGGGTCAGCTATGAGTTGAGCTCTGACTGGGAGGGCATTGGGTTGGTTAGAGTTCGATAGATCTAGCCCTTAGGGTGTAGTGTTGCTCCAAGGGAGAAAGATGATCAGTTTCCTCCCCTTAAGATTCAGTCTCAGAAACCCAGTGGAGCAGAATGTTTAATTACCCTCATGTGAAACCTATACCAAGAGGCTGTTTTCTGAACAGAGCAAAGGAACACTGCATGACTGAAAATCAAGAAAGATGTACATCAGGGCTGTATCTTTTCTCTGTATCTTTGATCTGTATGCCAAACAAATAATTTGAGAAGCCAAACTTTTTGAAGGATTAGCATCAGGACCAGAGGAAGACTCCTCAACAACATTGCAGATGACACAACTTTGCTCACTAAAAGTGAGAAAACCTTGAAGTGCATATTGCAGAAAATCAAGGTCTACAGCCTTCAGTATGGATTACATATCAACATCAAGAAAACAAAAATCTTTACCACTGGACAAATAGGCCCACTCATGATAGCTGGAGAAAAGATTGAAGTTGTCAATGATTTAATCTTATTTGGATCCACAATCAACACCCTTGGTATCAGCAACCAAGAAATCAAAAGACAAGTTACATTGGGAAATTTTTGCTGCCAGGAACCTCTCCAGAGTATGAGAGAAGTGAGGTCAGCTTAAAGACCAAGATGTACCTGATCCAAATCTTTTTCTTCTCAGTTACTTGCTATACATCTGGAAGTTGGACAATGAATGCCTAAAGATGACAGAAGAGGAATCAATGACTTTGAGTTGTGGTGTTGGAAAAGAGCTCTAGATATCCCATAGATGTCCAAGAAAGCAAATAGATCTGTTTTGTAGAAAGTGAAACCAGGGTGCTCCTTGGAAGCAAGGATGGTGAAACTCTGTCTCACATACTTTGGGCATGTTAACTGCATGACCAAACCTTAACAGGAGTAGCCAGTTCCTGGATAAGAACATCATGGTTGGAAAGGTGGGGAGGGTAACTGAAGGGAGGAAGACTCTCAACAAGATGTATTAACACATTGTCTATAACAAAGACTCTAGTGTGTCAGAAATGGTGAGGATGACACAGGATAGGGCAGGATTCAGATCCATCATTGTTTGTAAAATCGCTATGAGTCATAATCTACTCAATAACATGTAACAACAACAACAACAAAATGCATCAAAGCCAACTCAGTGGCAGCAAGGTTGTCTGAGATCTATCTTTAGTAGAGAACAGGCTCAAGGCATTCTTTATTAGTTAAATTTTTACTTTACTGAATCTTTTTAAGTCTTTACTAATTGGCTAAACTACTGTTTGGCTTGAAGACTTTCCATTACTGTTCTCTCTCTATGAGTTTAGTTCAGATGCATAAAGTAGAATCAAGTCTGTTTATTACAAGCAGCCCAGGATTCTTTCCACAGTTTTGCAAACAGATTACAAAACTGTTGGATGGGCTGAAGAATTAGATCATAGGCTAAGCTGCCAGGAAGGACTGCCAAAGTCAAGTTTTGGAAATGGTCTATCAAAGGAGCAGGCCCACTTGAGTTCAAACCCTTTTTGCCTACCTTCAGAGCTGCTGGCTCCAGAAATCTACCACCTCCACCACAGTGCACACAGGCAGGAGAGACGCCTCAAACCTCCCTGCTGCCGTCTGTTTATTCATGGAAATTCTGGTATCACTCAAGTAATCTGATGGTGGAAGCTAATTCCTACCCCCACTGCTACTTGCACGGGAAACTAAGATAAACAGTTATCTTTTTTTCTCTAGAACTTTCACTTTTATAAGGGGTGTTAGAAACATATTGAGGTCAGTAATAAGTATGTGAATCCGTAGAATCTGTCAAAACTATATAAATACCTTTTCAGGAAATAAATTTTTAATTGGAATCTATTATTTCTTAGCTAAAACTAATGTTATGTATAAGCAAATGTAGATTTAATTCTTTGCCTAAATTAACTAATTCTTCATCAGAATTAACCTGGGAACTCTAGTGGCTCAGTCTGTAGCAAGTTTCACTGGTAACCCAAAGGCTGTGTTATCAAAATGGCTCTGGGGGCTCATACCAGTGGCTCTGAGGGAGGAAAATGGGCAGTCTCTCCCTATTATTATTCTTTATAATCTCAGAAATTTGATAAAAGGTCCTTGTGAGTTGAAAGTGATTCAACATCAGTGAATTTAATTTTAATTTAACCTAAGTTTACATGTATGGTTTGTTACGTGATTATGTGCAAATTTTGTGTTTATGTGCAAAAATGTTTTCTCTGGAGAGTTTATAACTTTCATCATTTTCTTATAAAGATTAAAATTAAACCACACTGCTGTAAGTTGATGCTAATTCATAGACCACATAGAACAAAGTATAACTACTCCATAGAATTCCTAAGACTGTGAATCATTCCAGGAGCAGAGGGTCACATTGTTCTCCCATAGAGCAATGAGTAGATTCAAACCACTGACCTTTCACTTCAAGTTAAGCAGCTGAGCCCTTCACCACTGCACCATCATGGCTTTTTACTAAAATCCCTGAGCTCTAAAATGTTTTGGAATCATTGTTCTTAATCTATGCTAAATTCTCTATGTCTCTCACAACCATTCAAAGCAAAAAATTCTCACAATTTCAAATGAAACAAGATGCTCTCTTATACTTTGGTATGACTTTTATAACTCTCTTTATTTAAAAAATTAAACAGTTCTGAAGATGCCTGTTTTCTTTTGATGTAGCCGTCTGATATTACTATTGTGAAATCAATGAAGAATCCTCCATCTGGTGTTAAATTAGTTCTGGCTGCTATTTGTGTCATGAAAGATGTAAAACCAGAAAAAATTACAGATCCATCAGGAACAGGAGGCAAGGTAATAACAGGGCAAAGATTTAAATTATATTCATGAATGTACAGAACATGTTAGCAGCACTTATTATCAAATTAAATGTCAATATTAGCTCAGAGGGGAAACTTTGTTTTCCAGATTGGATGGGCTGATCATAAGCTACGGCAAACTCTTCTTTTGTACTCCCAGGTAAAGCTAATGCGGTGTGGTGTCATAACACAGTGTGGCTTCAACTCTTTCTGTCTCCTCTCTATGAAGGACTCTTCACTATAAAAGGACTGACATTGAACAAACACTGAGACTGATGTGCTTTTCCAGCTAAGAGTCTCGATAATAATGTAACATTTAACAGAGGGGTGTTGTTTCTGAGCATATCAGAAGTTCTGCTGAGTTAAGAGGTTTAGTGAAGTTGCTGAAGGCATGTGCTCTGGAGCCAGAACAACTGTATTTAGAAATCTGGCCTGGTGGCAATGTCGTCTTGGTGCTTAGCCGCTCTAGACCTCTGCACCTTAAGGGAAATAATGCTAGTGTACAGAGTTGCTGTGAAGATCAGTTGTTAATACCTCTAAAGCTTTTACATATAATGCTTCCAAAATGTAAGCTCACAATGAATGCCAGCTATTATTACTATTGTGTTTTTACAATTAATCAAGGATCTATCTCCTACTGAATTTATAGTTTCTTTACAGGCCTTTGTAATACCAGTGTATGTAATCCCTGAACAGATTGGATTTTGGGGTTTTTTGCTGTTTATTCTTTCATATAGGTAAAACAAGGAAAATAAATATACTTGTCCATTATCAAGTTATTCTCATTTGTTCTCTTTCTCTCTCTCTTACACATTCACACACAGTCAGGCTTCTTCTGTAAGTAGGAAAAAGAATGTTCAGCTACTTATTCAGTGTCTTTTATCAATGCAAATAGCATGTGCTTCACCCTGTAACTGGCAGATCATTGTATAATCTTTGGCTTTTTGCTTTCTCCTTTTCTTTTACTTGGGAGTCTCAGGTGGGTAAAGTGGTCTGTATGAAAAATGTTTGCTAATTTTCTATTGTGGGAGAGTCAAAGAATAAAGAAAAATGAAAGTTGATATAATAAAAATATTTCCTTATGTGAAATGAATAAAGCTATTATGCTAATTGCTTTAAAATATTTCAAAATAATCACATCATTTTCCTTTCAACATTTCATTTTTTAAGTTCAATTTACATTTGTTTGTTTTAAAATATTTGATATAGTTATCATGTTCTTAGGAGGCATTTATTTGTAAGGAGATGTAATTTGATATTTTAAAAGTATGTAAATAGTTTCTCTAAACAAATATATAAACTTCAAGAAAAATAAATCTGTTA